GAGAGAGAGAGAGAGAGAGAGAGAGAGAGAGAGAGAGAGAGAGAAAGAGAGAGAAGAGGGGTTTTGTACAATAACATCAATAATACAATATTAATTCAAATAATACATCTAATGAGATGTACCATTCAATTACTCTTCTGGTTTTCTGGAACTCGGTTACGTTATAGTTATTTTCCCAACAAGAAACCACTTTTGTGCTGACCTACACTTGAGGTCATGGGAGAAAGCGCGAGTGTATCCAGCCTTTTTCCTCGCCCGCTGATTATTCCATTTGGACTCCAATAAAAGGAAGTGCAAAATTGTGCAGCAGAACAACAGACCGAGATCTATCACGATGCTTCGCCTGGCAGTCTTAGTTTGCGCTCTCTGCTCGAGTCATGCTTTACTTTTTAGTACCAGTGGTAAGTAAACTGTATCGAATTTTATTTTGCCGAGGACATGGTATTCATATGCCTTAACGGTTTTTTTTTCATTTTGTAGCCCACAACCAAATTAAAATTTTAAAGGCGTCTTTACTCCCGCACCACGACTGTGCTTTTTACTGTAAGTGTCATAATATAAAAGGCTGAAAGTCCGCTTTCTTGCAGTTAAAAAATAATGGAAAATTAACAATTGATCTGTTAGAGCTCACTGTGAGCAACCTAGATCTATGCAATGAGCATACTAACTATACTATTATTCACATTGAAAAAAAAAGCTCGTTGGTTGCACCTCTATCTTTTATGACAATGATGATCTTTTTTTAGGTTTTAAGAATAAAGTACTCGTACTTTGAATAGTTTAACAGTCCTCTTATTCACATAAATAATTATTGTTTCTGTTTTCGCAGGGGGTCTATGGAACAACCTAAAAGGTAAGACCTCATCTCCAATATGATGTATACGTACGTGCAAAATGGCATTTTGAAAAATAAAAATCTAGACCATCTGTATACACATTTGGCGTGTGTTAAGTACAGATTAAATGCGACCCCCCCCGCCACCTCCACGTTAAAAGAACTGCTGAGTTGGATTCATATGTTATTACTTTCTGGTGACAAGCTCTTGTCTTGATCGTAAAGAAGTAAAGTACTATAATTGCCCCTCCTCCGGATTAGCGGGAGAATTAGACTTATAAAGGAACGCTGGACGGCACAAGCAACAGCTTTCACTGTCAATCTCTTCTCTATGCGTGGGTAGTTACACAGACAAAGATACTACTACTACTACTACTACTACTACTACTACTACTACTACTACTACTACTA